CCCCCCCCCCCCCCCCGCCGCCGCCGCCGCGGTGCGCTTGTCGTGTTGTTATCTTGGGTTGGTGTTCGTCGTCGTCGTCGTCGTCGTCGTCCAGGACCTGTACAAGACGGTGTGGGAGATCAAGCAGAAGGTGGTGATCGACATGTCGGCGGACAGAGGAGCCTTCATCTGCCAGTCGCAGTCCATGAACGTGCATATGGCCGATCCCACCCAGGTGAGAGAGAGAGACAGAGAGAGAGACAGCGAGAGACAGAGACAGGGAGAGAGACAGACAGACAGAGAGAGACAGCGAGAGACAGAGAGACAGAGAGAGACACACAGAGAGAGACAAAGAGAGAGAGGAGCGCGAGTGCCCTTCCACAAGCACAAGCTGTTGTGTTGCCGGAGGGTGGTGTTGACGGGGTAGTGTTTCAAGTACTGGAGTGCTGCGATCAAATTGAAAACAAATGCTCGCCGGTCGAAAATGATAAGGAGACCTGGTACCATGGTATTACCATGGTGCGGAGTCAAATATTCAGGAAGTACACACACACGTACAACAGAGTACGATCTGAGGGCTCTCCGCTCACCCAGAGTAGAGGGCTTCATACTGAATGTAATTTTGTTTTATTTTGTTGATTTTTGAGTTTTTGGAGGACAAGTCTAACGCGTGTACCGTACCGCGCGCTTTTTTGTCGTTCCGGGGGGTGGGTGGGCTTGGCCGGCGCTTTTCCCTCCGAACGCAGGGTAAGCTGACTTCTATGCACTTCTACTCGTGGAAGAAGGGCCTCAAGACGGGGATGTACTACCTTCGCACCAAGCCGAAGGCTCACGCAATCCAGTTCACCGTAGACCAGGAGGTGAGCACCGTAGGTGGCATGGCACAAGATACCACCCCCCCTGGACCGATTCTCAAAGCTCGAATACTCCATGACGAAGAGGATGGCGCAACTCAAACTACTATTCGTTTTCGGAAAGCTCTCGACGAGACGGTTCCAACGCCGCCATTCTAGTCACCGCAACTGCTTTTACTGCCGAGTAATCGAGCTTTGATAACCGGTCCAGGGGGTGCCATATCTATCGCAACCTTTTGTGGCGGTGGTGCTTGTCTTTTTTCTTATTGCCTTTTTTTCTTCCGTTCTCACATTGAAGTTCCCGTGGTGTCTTTGGCCCTGCGGCCGCAAACGTGCTGGGGCCCAGAGAAACGCATTGCGGTCGGAAAGCGTTGATGTGGTGCCCGTGGTGATAGATATTCCATAGCACGATGTGCTGGGGTTTTGACCTGGTCCCTTTGCTTGTTCCCGGTGTGTAATCTCCCTAGACTACGCTAGATAGAGGGTTGACGGGTGTGTGGTGTTCAGTCCCAAGGTTTGAATGTATCCCCCGCCTTTTTTTGACATGCCATATATAGGGTCGATTGTTTGTGTTGAGCAGAGATGGTGTTGCAGACATGGACGTTTTGGTTGCCTACTTGGTTTTTGCCTGAATCAACGACTTTTTCTTCCTACGGCCTTCAAACCCTCTTCCCTACTCCCTCACGCACGCACGTCTGTTTGTCCGTCGGTCGGTGCAGTCATTAGCGGCAGCGGTGAGGGAACAGGCTCTGCTGCGGCGGGAGGGCAAGGGCGGCGGCGAGTCCGCCAAGGCTAACGAGGAGGAGGACGACGGGGAATGCCTAACCTGCTCCGCCTAATGTTCCTGCCAGAATAGTCTTCTAGTCTACTGTAGTTTTAATTACATGTCATGAAGACCGTGGGCTGCATCGCAGAGCAGGGAAAAGTACGGCAGAGGAGCGCTGCTCTGCTCACACAACAATCTCTCTATGCGGTACTTCTCTCAAGTGTACATAACGATTGTGCCTCAACTGATGTTGCATTCATTTTCCGAGGCTCAGGGGAAAGTGTGTTTTTGGTGTGATGGCAGCAAGTGTTGCTGTCCGCCATGTGAGACCTATCATAGCTCGTGTGATGGGGAGTAATTCCTGTCTGATGTGCCCCCTGGTGGGTGTCCTAGAGCATGGCGGTGTGAACTAAAGCGAGATACCGACCTCGACAACCGTGTTGTTCGATTATGATTTTGAATTTTTCTGTGTGGAACTTGTCATGACTGATTTGTCGATATGCGTTATGCATAACCGTGTAGAAATTGAAAATGTTGGTTGAGTGGTTGTTTGATTGTAAAAGTACTCCGAAACGGTAGCACGCGTCGCGCCAAGCCAAGCGTAGGATTGAGGCTACGTGGAAGCAACCGTAGCTGCTGTGCTGTGCGCGGCCCTGAGCGGATGATGTTTTCTCACGCCGGCTGCGGCGTGGCTGCTTTGTTGTGTTCCTGCTCGTGGTGCACGAGCCAATGGTGGACTCGTGACTGATAAGAACGCTGCATGCATTCCAACGAGAAAGGGAGAGCCGGCGACCCACTTGTGGAGTGAGGCACTCGCGCGGGCAAGTCCCACGCAGAGCGTGTTTGACCCAAGTGCGACCTCTCGTAAACACGACCTGAGTCTTTGTTTCGCCTTTCTTTCTTTGTCGTCGACGTCTTTTGGCTTTGCAAGAACAGCGATGATGATGGGCATAATTAACTTGGACGGAAGACGTCCACGCCAGTTGGACCAGCACTGAAATCGGAAGGTACTACTCTGAGCGGAGACCATAACGTAACAAGTTCGTGAGGTTTCCGTTTTCGCTCTCCTTGTTTCAACGGAGTGCTGCTTTGCTATAATGGAGCTTTTCATGGGCCCTTGGCGCCGAGAAGGGACCCTTCAATGCTCGCATCCGCCCAAATCAGCGCTCTCAATGGTCGCCGAGTTCTTCTGCAGCCGCATCAGCGGCGTGAAGCTTGAACCACCGCCGTTGACAAATTCCGCGGCCTTGTTTGCTAAGACTGCTCCGGCCCCAAACACCATGTGAATCTCGTACCAAGTGAAAATGTGCCGTCGTCATCATTGTTCAGCAGGTCCTTCGAATACCAAGGTGAACCCTTCGGCGGCGGTTGATCGATAGTCTCATGCTCGTGGAGAGAAGGGCTACAAGAGCAGTCATTTACGCAGTTCATTAGACTACAGTGGGTGGCCCGATATAGTGCCGGTTGAATAGTGCCGGTTGCCGGTATAGTGCCGGTGTTTTCGGCTCGCACACACCGGAATATCAAGTCTTTCTGTACTCTGAATAGTGCCGGTGCCCGGTGTAGTGCCGCTTTGCTCTCTGAACACATACCGGCACTATAGAGGGCCCCCTACTGTATATAGTCTAGACCAAAAAAAATATATACAGCAGTGTAAGTCATTTCTCGCCTGCTCAGAGGGACAAAGGGGGGGGCACGTCGCCTGCTGCAGATAGAGGGGTTGGCGTGGGCAGCGTCACGGACAGAGGTAGGGTTAGGCGGCAACGGCGGTGGCAGCGTGCAACATGACAGCAACGCACACGGTCCCAAGGATACAGGGGCAGGCTGAGGCAGCAGGTGAGCACGTCCAAGAAGATACAGAAGGGGATCCGTAGGTTGAAAGTCCCACCCCCCGTCTCGTCGCCGACAACTAGATACAAGTGAGAACACTCCATGCTTTGTCCGCTGTCCAGGGCGCTGCCGCTGCTTCTGCTGCTGCTGTCGACTCAACCACCGTCACTAGCCTACCACACCAGTCAGTGGCCAAATTCTACTGAGCTTCAGTTGTGGACGGCAACGGCGCAGAAAGCACGACACGCGGCGAAAACATTCGGCGGTGCTGACAACCCTGGCTGCTGTGAGAGAAAGCAGGGTTACTCTCTCTAGACGACTGGACAGCATAGCGAAGGCGCGAAGCGAGAGAGGAAAAATGCTTGCCGCTTCCACGCTGTCGCTATCGGTCGTGTCTACGGCCGGCTTTCTCTTGGCAAGGTTGGCAAATCGGAGCTCCTTTTGCGCCACCCAGCATGGGCTTGGGTTTGGGATGATGGCATCTGCGATCTCTGTGGCATCTGCAGGTGGTTCGACCATAGCCGCTGAGGTACAAAGCAACGGCGATGTGACAGCAGCAGCGGCAGCCTTTGCGGGCGACGCAGGTAGCGGAGGAGGATCAGCAGCTAGTAGTGAGGTGTTTCGAATAGAAACATCAACAGTGATTCCCGGGTCACACGCGGCGACTGCTACTATGCATACGCGCGGCGACACCAATCCGATGATGATATCATTCGCAAAATCGGGCCTGTCGTCTGTGATTGGCACTCGCGGCAGCGAAGCAACCCACCCACTTTGACTACACAGCATGCTGGAGGGTATCAGCGCTTTGCGATGCAAAGGTGTTTGAAGGTCATCAGCTTGTTGCGACCATCGCCACCATCATCAACGCTATATTTATTACGCAACACCGGGCGGAAATCGGAAATCAGCCAAGTGCGGCGGAACCACCCCTGGAACGTGACGGTTGCGATCTAAATTGTTGGCTGGGACCAGACTACAGTACTGGTACACTGCTGTAGCTGAAGCAGTACAAAGCCAGCACAGCACCACACCGAAATAGAAAACTGCAGCAGTAGGCGAAGTTGTACGAATATCAGCAAGCAGAGCTGCTCCGGGGCTCCTTTCGTCTTCGCACGCACAAATTTCTGATTTCTGACAGAAGTTTCCCGGCCGGCATGCCAACAATATTCGGCACTCCTGCTGCTATCCTATGGCATGCATGGAAGTCCGCTCTTGGGGATGCAATCCCGTTCAGATTTTTCCGACGGCCAAGACCCAACCGCCTCGGCGTTTCTTGTTACACGAGCAGAGACCGGTACCAATAGGTTTCGAGAGCGTCAAAGGCGTAGTCTTGCCGCTATTCGAGGTTGGCCAATCAGGAGACAACCCACGTTCGTGATGCATCTCTTTTTTTACAGTATGTATTACGATCCTTTTTGTGACGGTCTGGTTTTGCCTTTCCCACGCTGACCAATACAAGACAACTCCGCGGTCCTGACGCGCCGCTCTTGTTCCTACGATCCCTTTTGTGACGAAAAATATCGAAAACAGGGTCCTCGCCAAAGCGGCGGCGGGTGAGTTCGGACGTGACAACGCGGTTCCCGATCACGGTGGTTGAGAAACAGCCACGACGATTGGTCGTTATCGCCGACGTGCACGGAGACTTAGGTGCGCAAGGAAGAAGGGGTGTCGGAGGGTGGTATTTTGAACCATTGTGGGGGGGGCGTATACGTCTTGCATGCCTTTGCCGTGAGACCATTGACCACGTGTCCTCGAGAGGGCGGGCCATTGTTCCTGCAGGACTGATCACCGATGGACAATCGTCCCCTTCTACTTTGCCATCTAAAACCACGGGGGTGTAGGAAATGCGTATGCTATGAACAGAGGCGGAAATGATCTGATGTCCTTGGGCGTGCCGGTGTCCTGATGTTCGAAATATCTTCAGCCCAAAACAGAAAATTTGAAACGTATTTGTAACGTTATCCCTTCCGTGACCACACTTCCGATTGCTTTGTCCGCAGAAGGATTGGAAACACACATGGACCTCCTCGTATGCCTTCGTGAATGTTTGCACACATGTAAGATGTTGGAGCATTTGAGCCAGTTCTAGAAAGGAGGAGGCACCCATAAACTCAGTCACGCAAGGGTTAATGCAACTTCGACAGGCGCCTTCGCGGAGACCCTCCTTGCGGCGGGGCTTGTGGACGGCACAGGGAACTGGGCCGCCGGGGAGACCGTGCTGGTTCAGGCGGGCGACGTGTTCGACAGGTGCGCGGAACTGGCTTGACTGCTGTTGTTTCTCCGAGCATGATGTTACGCGTGTGTGTCGGTGCTGCGGAAAACTCATGTGCCGGAGGGAGGGGGTCGATACTGTCGAGATCGATATGCGCGTCGCAGTACTGCGCCGTTTTCTGCTGGTCTGCCGGTCTGTCCCATGTAGTCGGCGACTTCGTGTTCGCGTCTTGTCAAAATATTTGTATTACAGTAAGCATACAAAGCAGAAGAGAACATACCCCCGGAAGACAGCTTCAGGACCAGCTCCTCACGCGATTTTGTAGACCTGTTTTACGATGCATGCCCCCTCCCCCCACCCCCGGGTGTTTTGCCATCGGGGTTGGGTTTTCGTCGCTTGGCAACGGCGTTGTAAAACAAGCCCCCCCCTCGGTGTTTGCCATCGGGGTTGGGTTTTCGTCGCTTGGCAACAACGTTGTAAAACAAGCCAAGTCACTTCGTGAACTCGGCAACCAGGTCACCTTTTTTTTTTTTACCTCTGTTTTTTTTTTGGCGGTAACCATAATGGTGGTCGAGTAGATCATGTTGTGCGGTGTGGAGAACCCTCACTCCGCACAAGGGGGATGATCGCACCACGTTGTGTTGAAATGGTCAAGCACCCTCGAGGCAGTTACACAGTGCTTACAACTGTCTCTGGAAGTGAAAGCACCAGAAAATAAATTAAAGTCATACAAGCTGTCATCCGTACGCAAGGAAGTAAGCACAAGATGCCGAACACCCTTAGCAGGATGCAGCGCACCCTTCATGCGACTCGCCGAATATCTCACGGCGCTTCGCGCTTGGTGATGTGAGAGCCTGGTCCGGTGAGAACCCGGCGTGCTCCGTCCCGGCTTTGTAGGGATGCGAGGTCAATGGTCTAACGACTACGGCATGCACGACTACGAGTACCCCCCACCCCCCTTTTTCAGAGGAGACTCGGACCTGGAGGTGGAAGAGTGGCTTTGGACTCTGCAGGAGCAGGCCACGGAGAGCGGGGGCGCCGTGTATCATCTCCTCGGGAATCACGAGGTACAGTAGAGAATGGGATCGCTCGCTACAGTACAACTGCGGCTTTGTGAAAGTAGGGATTCTTCGTCGGCAGACAAACGTCGGGGAGATCGTACCCTTGGTGGAGAGGGGGATCTCCACAGTTTGATGGTGTAGCATAGAACAAAGGGGGAGCATGGCTGGCTGCTGCAGCTTGGGAGGAGACCAGTAAGAGAGATTTTTGGAGTACAGGGGGTGACGCGAAGATGGCTCCGCTAGCGCCGTCTGGTATTGGGCAAGGCTGTGTCCGGTTTGAGAGAGAATCGGATATGCAGGCGGGGCGGCCTGGCACAGCTCTCTCTCTCTCTCTCT